TAAACCCTACACCCTAAACCCTAAACCCTAAACCCTAAACCCTAAAACCCTAAACCCTAAACCCTAAACCCTAAAACCCTAAACCCTAAACCCTAAACCCTAAACTTAGACAATTCTAGTCGAAAGAGGCGCGCGAGTACTTGGAGTACACGGCCTAAAGTGCTAACCTCGCCATCTACTTCTACTCCGTGCAGCTTTCTCAGCCTAAGTCAAAAGAGTTGCCCCCGCCTTACCTTGGCCTTCGGTTCGCAGCTCAAGCTCGGTACGGGCTCGCCCCGTCTCCTTCCTTGCCCTCGCCTTGCTCTTCTTCCATGTCTTCCTCTTCTTCATCATCTTCCCTCATCTCCACCCCGGCGCAGTCGGTCCTTCAGGCTTGTCCACCTAAATCCTAAATTCTAGGCTAAACCCTGACTAAATCCTAAACCCCAAACCTGACTAAACCAGGGCTGCACAAGAAAATTGCACTTTGTCATGCGTTCCTTTTGTTCAATCTCGACACGGTGAGCTGGGGGTTGTTGCTACACTTTTCAATGTTGTGTTCGATCATTTTGCTTGACTAGTTTGTTTCTCATCGACTTGATCGAGAGTCTCAGAATGCGGGGTCCCTGGGGGGTGTAGCTCGAGCGTGCAATCTTGATTTGCCATCTCTCGTAAATGACATCTTTATTCCAGGAATCTATGGACAGGAATATTTTCAAGGGGGCACCGCAAGACCAGAAACGTCAACTTAGTATCACTTCCAACATCGTCGGGTCCAACTGACCACATCGACTTCAGCGATAATGATGTGAAGGGTCAAATTTGTCCAGAACAGAAGAAAATTCTTGCTCTTGAAAGCAAATTAAGTATTGTTCAGCCCCTAGATCATTATCACTTTCCGCCAGAATGTACAGCAATGTCTCCGTCAACAATACTCAGTGCACAAAGTACCTGCCAACCTCTTTCAATCTGTTCGTCCTCTGCAGAGGTTCCAACATCATCGAGCGCTATAAATCTAGAAGACTCGAAGGGCCTTTCAAACTTTGACAAGTTCTCCCAAAGAAATGGGCACATGTCTATTCAGAGATTGAAACCACTACCTCATTCAATGCCGACTCGGAATTCATTGACGGCGGTGAACGGTTAGGGTTCGTTCTTTTCACTTACTCTTCACAGATGCCACGACCGAAACGAATAATTTTAGTACGGCATGGTGAATCAGAGGGTAATACTCAAGAAATTCTCTACACTCAGATACCAGGAATGTTTTGTGTTGACCAATCAAGTCTCCTAATCATCAAGCAGATTGGAAGATTGCTCTCAATCCTCGAGGCTTGCGACAGGTCAAGAAGCCACAGTGAATGCGTGAATTTGATGGAATGGCAGGCATGGGACGCAGGGACAAAAATCAAAGAGATTGTAACGAATCCAAATCTAGTGTTGGTATATATTTGACTTTACTGACAAGGTCAAAGAAGAACCAGTATACGTGTATCACAGCCCTTATCAACGCGCAGTTCAGACTTGTCGGCAGCTGATTCAAGCTCTAGATTATGAGCAGGTAATCTATTGCATATGTTACATGCTTGCAAACACATGATGCGATGCCATGGCTCAAGATTCAAGGCCTGCGCGAGGAACCTCGAATCGCTGAGCAACAAGTAATTTAACGATGATTGACAAATTCGGTTGCTAAATGCTGTTTAGTTTGGAAACCTGCAGAATCTCAATACCATTCGACAAAATAAGTCAGTTGGATTGCTGTGTCTTTGATTTTTTGTTCTTAATTGATCATTACAGGCATGAAAGAAGCAAATTTGGAAGATTTTTTTATCGCTTCCCAAATGGAGAAGCAGGCTTGGACGTGTACATTAGGGTTTCAGGCTTTATCGGCACTTTGCGTAGAGATCATCTACAGGTCTTGAAGATGTGTGCCCTTTCTGTCTCAGCCCTACCTCAAAATCGAAGCCTCCTAAACGACCTGACTCATCCAAACAGGAGGGCTCAAATGTGATTATCATCACGCACGGGTTGGCGCTCCGATTGTTCTTGATGCGATGGTTTCAGGTGATTCGCTTGACCAGCAACATAGACTTCTGACTTTGAGCTGCATCGTTAGTGGAGTGTCGAGCAATTCGAGGCCACACACAACCCGCCAAACTGCGGGATTGCTGTCATGGAACGACTCCCCGAAGACGGAAGATATCGCCTGACGCAGGAGACACTTGATGTAATTCTGATCGAAGAAGTGTTCACCAAATATGACCTTGTCATTCAGATGATTGGCGCAGAAAATGCTCCAAAGACCAGGTTGTCAACCTGCATATTGGCTTTGAGGTACTGATCTCGTACGTTGCAGTGTGATTGGACGATCGTTTTTGGGCAAAGCGTACGTAGACACGTTCATGGCCTATTAAGAAACAGCCGTGGTACGAGCTTTGTGATTTGAATGTGATCGCGAATCGTTTGTAATTTGTTGTGGGTTTCTTGAAAGAATTTGTGAAGCCGAGAGAGTATTAGATGTTTTTCTTAATGATTTCAGAATGATTGTAATCGAATTATGAGTTGTCGAGTATGAGAAATTCTCGTTCAAGAGCATTTTGTTAGTCTCAACTTATCTCTCAGATCTGAATGTACTGCCATATTCATGATATTTGCTGTCGATACTCAACACACAGATTGAGATGATTGAAATTACTTCTCTTCAATCCCAATAGAAACAAATTCTGCACAAAAAGAGTCAGGGAGCGTGAAATATTAAAAAAATTGCAATTTTTCACCGGAATCCTCTCTTTGCGTGTCTGAACTTATATGTACATCCTGTTGGTTCGCGCTCACAGGCTGGATTCCTTCGCCTCTGCCGGCATCGAGGTTGTAGTGATCATTCGATTCCCCTTCCTGTCTGGTTTGACCACTTTCAGGGTCTTCCTCCTGATTTTCTTGCCCTCCTCCAGCATCGGTTTCTGGTTTTCTCAGGCACATTAGCGTGCAAGAGATCGCACAGAAAATGAGGCCAGCTTGCAAGAAAAAAGGAATAAGAACTTCAGCAAAGGAATGATTCGCAAGCGTTGATCCCGAGAGACGAGATGCCAGGAGAATAAACATAATCAAGATTGGCAGAATAAAGCAAACAAAGGTAAAGATTCTCGAAGAAACATTCTCTTTGCCAGAATCATGCTCATCTTCGTCTGTTGCACTGAGAGGACGATTTGGATTGCGGTTTTTCTCGAGGGATAAGATTCGAAACGATTTCACTACGATCCTCATCGAGATGTAGTACGCAAACCAAAGCCAGATAGGAAGGAGGATGGCCCACCAAGATGAGGATGTAGACCCCGAGACCTTCGCAACGATCAAGATCCATTGAATCAACCGCAAGATCTTGAAGAGAGACTTGTCCACAACAAACTCCCAGTACGAGAGTACAGGACTTCCCGACTTCTTCTCTGCTTCATACTTGCCATATGCCGCTCTGGACACTCTAAAAGTGAGAGCAAGTATTTCCACCGCCTCCATAATGAACACCGGGATGAAGATCTGCCCGATCCCTGTGTTGAGATCGCCATCAAGAGCACTCGCCAGAAGGGACAAGAATATCAATACGCAGATAGAGTACAGCAGCGGAGTGAACCTAGTGTATGCTCTGCCGATGGCACTGCTGTCTTGCTGCTCTGATGACAGTGCTGCAGGCAATGAACAACACACCGAAAGACCGACGACTATAAACAGAGGCGAAAACACGCCTGCCCATTTCATATTGGAGGATCCATCAATGCGAACAGTGAGGAAAATAGGAAACAGCAAAAGAAAACAGCAAAAGAAAGATATGCAGAGCACAAGCATTCCACGAGCTGCGGAACTCGCACTTCCAAGAGCATAGAGGGCCATGGCAGGATCCATGTTATCCATTGCTTCCTTGATCTTGAGCCCTTCTTCTCCATATTTGTCATAAACTTGCTTTCTCTCAGGGTCGGAAAGAACGTCATACGCATCCTTCGCCAACTTAAACTTGTTTTCAGCCTCCAGATCATCTCGATTCCGGTCAGGATGTAGTCTCAAAGCTGTTTTCTTCCATGCTCTCTTGATATCATCTGGCGTGTTTGCATCTCCTTTCTGCAGCCCTAGAATTTCATAGTATTGCGTTGTGTTTACATTGGCTCCCGATGCCAGAGTTTCCATCGCGCTTTCAGCTGGTTTGTTGCTTGCTGCTACAGCATCACACTCCTTATCAGTCTCGATGCACCGTCGGCTCCACTACAAACGTTCCTGCACACCAAGTTAGAAAATCATTTCATGTTGATGTTTAGTCCCGAAAGTACTACATCACACCACGAAAATAACCTCACTACATCTGTTTGTTTGCTTGCGCAGCTACAAGAAGTTGTCGCTATTTCGATATTCAGGGTTTAGGTTTGCATGCAGATGGATTCTTAGATCTTTTGGTGCAACAAGGCTATCTAATCCAACGTTCAGCGCGTCATTGAAATCAACATCCATGATCTTTCGCGCTTTGTCACTCCTCTTCCCACTGTTCGATGTCGAGCTTCTGCATTTTTAATTTATTGACTAATAATGCGGGGTTGAAGCCTGTGACAGTAAGTTACTAGCCGGGCCTGCCCGTCCGACGGGCAGGCCACTGTGACGGTCACAGTGATCGGATCGGACTCCGGGACGGTTCCGAGGCCCGGGCTAACGGCCGGCGCACCGCCGCCCCGCCGGGCGGCGGCCGGGCGGCCACCCGGTGACAGTGACCGGCGGCCTGACTCGGAGCGGCCGGGCGAGTCAGCTGACCGTGGCGGCGGCCCGGCCGCGTCACGTGGGCCGGGCTGAGCCCGGGGCCGCCTGGCACGGTCAGGCGGCCCCTGCCACTGAAAGTTGAAACCTATTCAACCGGCCGCACCGTTGAGCCCGGCTACCCGGTAGTACACCTCACTGGCTGCCGCAGTGCCAGGCCGGGCCCAGTCCTGGCAGCCTCGGATTCCGATCCGGTGTACAGGAAGTGAATCACAACGTAAGTTAGCACTTATTGTCAAGCAGCCTGCTAAACATTTCAAGTTTATGCATGATCCGATCCACACGCAGTACCGCGGCGAGTCACTGAGTCCACAGATCCCCACATTTATTCGTACAAATAAAACCCTTTATGAAGCAAACTCCATCCCCGCAATAAGAGTCTTGATCCATGGTTTAGAAAGTAATGAGAAATCAAAACCAAGGAATAGAGCTTGTCCACTGCCAAATTTCATGCCGAAAACAACGCTGACCCCTGCTGTCTCGAAGTAGCTTACAGCATCCATCGGTAGAGAAGACTGCATAAAACACTCATAGTTAAGCCCAAAACCTTCAATGCTGCATCAGGTACCAGGCGCACTCCATGTGCATGATTCATGTCATTGGGAAGCGTGACTGGAAGAGTCTGAAAAGGAGTCCCGATCGCAGCTTCTTGCTTTTCATATGGACCCCTTGTCCACGCTTGCTCCAAGAGCGTACCACCTGACGGAACAGGTCATGAATATGCATCAAGCTGCATACAAACACAAAACAGAGAAACATTAAGTTTTTGGAAGGCAAGAGACAAACCAAATATGACATACCATCTTGTGGCAACAAGTTGGAGTTGATGAAGTCCACGTTGGCAGGTCCTCCACAAATGATGAGAGTATTGTGCCCAACAGAAATGTAGTGGCGAAGTCTTGCTTTCGCCTCATCGCTCAAAATGGGACGATTTCCTTCGGAGAGGGGAGGAATAACTAAGACCTGAAAAATGGTTAACTTCCCCGTGAGGTCTGAGATAACCATGGTACCGAGTGTCTATTGCTTTGCAAAAATCTCATCTGTTGTGTACCAAAGTTCTCGATGTAGCTGCTCCCCTCCCACTTTCCAAAGTTCTTTGGCAGTCCAAGGACTTTCCTGATCAAATTCCCCGCTCTAGTAATGTCCACGTCATTGCCTAGAAATCAGGAGACATCAGAGAGAGTAAAATCTAGAATTCGGCTTTCACCCGAGTACATAGTGACTCTCTGCAAGAACGGAGGGCCCTTGTAATAAGTCCAAACACCGTGGTTGACTTTGCCCTGTACAAATATGAGTTTTTGACTTGTTCACTTGTTCAGTTCCAAACCACTTCATTGATTTGATCCACGGTTTTCGTCCATGTAGGATAGTCTTCGAAGTCGACGCTTCCTCGGAACATACGCTTGAACTGTTCACTGTTCTTGTCCATCGTATCGGAAACAGGATCCTGCTGGTAAATCTTCTATCACATCCTTGTGCAAAGCGCAAGTCCTCAAGGAAGCAGATCGAAAAAAGAGACGTCTGACGAGCAAGAAACTTACCGTTCCATTCCCATCCCTGAAAATCAGAGTAACTGCTGCTGCTCCCAATCCCAGCATAAGACATGCCATGGCTCTGTGCTTCGAGCTACTTGGCATGCGGCCAGACCGCAGAGGCCGAACGAGCCCCTCGGTCCCTGCCATGCCTTGCCCCCAGCCGTCTATTTCCGGCGATGTCAGTTCAGTCAACCAGCATAAAACCCTCATCCCCACCCGGAATAGGCGGAACCTGAGGCGGACCAGGGAGCAAATGCAGTGCAAATGTAACTGAGAAGTAACCGCTATGCCATAAAAGTTACTTCAGCGGACCTCGCGCTGCATTTGAGAATGCGCATTAGTGATGCGACTGCTGCCCTCAATGCGGGTCGACGGCCCCTTCCCTCACTTTGCTCGTTTTATTCGCGTTGCCTCTACCTGAAATCATCTTGCTGCTTTGTTCCCCTTGTGATTCTTTCTTTTCAAGCCATGCACCGCAAATAGCTCGTTGTTTTGACACTGCTACCAAATTGCACTGACGTAAGCCTGCAGGCAGACTCTTAGTTGCTCGTTGAGAAACGACAAGCAAACAAAAGTTCCTAAACGCCTTTTCTCAATCTCTTTACGGAGTTGCAAAATGCGATGCTCTAGACTCTTGACTTGTGCTTTAGTTGCGTGTTGTTTCCTCCCAGCGCGAATATCTGCCTTCAGCCCTCATCTTACGTTCAGAAGTGGAACAAGGGCAGCATTAACGACCAACAACCTTGACCATTTTTGTCTCAGTCGTGTACCTGTGTCATTCGTACGCAATACTAGGCCAGTGACGACTCTTCGCATAGGAGCCGATCTCAATGAACCCAATGAATTCGTTACACAAGACTCAGGAATCACTGGGGACGAGGAAGAGATCCGACAGAAGATTACAATGGTAGTTGATCAAATGATGAGCAAACATCCTGCTGCAATGGCTCCAGCTCCCTTAGGAGAATTACCTCCGAGAATCTTTCTTGACAATGTTGAAGCCTTGCTGAATGAACCTGTTTACAAAAATGTTATGTATCGACGACTTGAAGAATGCAGCAGTGAGGTATTCCAATCTCAAATCGATCTATCTAATCTTGTGCTAAAATGAAGTTGTAGGAAGAATTGCAACTTCTAGAAGTTGTTGATGAAAAACTGCTGGAATTCAAGAAGGAGCAGAGAGATTTGATAAACAAAGCTAAATTGGAATACATCATAGGAGCAGCGCTTGAAGGACCAGAGGTCTTAGACGAAATTATGACTGAATTTTGCGAGGTATCTCTATCCCTTTACCTTTGCTTTCCTGTCTAATGTAAATCATTTTCAGAATCGTGGCTTGGACGATGGATTAGTTGATTACTTGGATGAAATTGTAGCGAAGGCGCAGGAGGATGAAAACAATGTATTCTCTACCGTGGTACTTTTCGAAAAGTGACGAATATGCCCGTTCCAGTCTGACTCGAAAGAATCTGTGCTTGTAAAAATGCTGAAAGTCATTAAGGACAGGTTTCATCCACCGTATTTCGAAATTACATTACTAAGATCACTCTTGCTCAAATCAGGGTTGTTGCAGAAATCAGAACAAGGGACAAGCCTTACGTTAAACTTCTAGCTTCGCTGCTACGAATGGAAGATCATCCAGAGAGGGAAGCTTTTCTTCGAGGAGCACGTAACTCAAAACCTTAGCATTTGTTTAATTGTTAATTCTGATCATGCCCAGTGCTGAATCCGGACGACGCCACTCGATTCCAAGGATTCATTGTCGATGGAGTTCAGTACATGGAGCAGGTTTTGGCATGTATGTTTTGTGTACTCAAGATTCTCATCATTTCAAAAGCACCGTGCTGACTGGCTGATGGATGAGAGAGTGGAGAAAATGAAGATGATTGCCCGAGAGGCAATGGTAATTTTGCTTCTTTTAGTTTCTGATTGGTGTTCAGGTTGGAATGTTCAAGAAACTTTTGGAACAAAGGTGATGCATTTCGATCAGGAGCTTCATATTTTGCTCACTGTAGGCACAGACGAGATGCTGCAGCCCGACAGAAAGCTGAAAAGCCTTCCTCGTGATTTGTAGAGCTGTAAGAGCTGATATTTGCCAAAGCAAGCTGCTTATGAATTTCCTAATTACATCTATTTGCACAGTTGTCGTAAGACCTTCCCAAGGCTTGTGATTGTAATCCTATTTTGTTATATACGACCTGCAATCTAGGAAATACTTCTGTGTAGGCTAACGTGACAAATCCATCGCATTTTACTCACTCTTTCCTAAAGTTCATCATGACATAGAAATTTTGTTTTCAGTTGCTGCCCAAACGAAGTACACAGTTGATATTGATTTGCAGGACAAAGATTGCAAGCAGATCGCTTTATCAAAAAGGCATCTGTCCATCAACTGTTTCACTGATCAAGGGAATCTCGTTGGGAAGCTTTCCACTGATATTAGAAACAGCAGCATAGATCACAGACAAAAGAATAGCATAAAAGACTGTGTTGCTCCCTGTTTCCGCCAACTCCAAAGGTACATTTCCTGCCAAACCTTTGAACAAGGACGGGAAGATCAGGGCGATGTCGAGGTAAATTGCCTTGAAACACATAATCAGAACAAATGATATTGAGGTTTGCAAATTACCTGCAGCGTGTTGTACCTTACAAACCTCGGGATTGAGGGATTGCGTGTAACGAACGAAAATAGAGCAATGAAGACCGCAAACGACACGAAAGGGGCATTTAGTAAAGAAATGACAGGAAACAATGGAACGAACGGAAGAGCCAAGATCGGAAACTTGTCGAAGAGGAAATGACCCCATTCAAATGAATCTGCAAGAGGAAGCGCGTAAGGTAAGCACGCAACGAAGCGATCAAGGGCCGGGACATCATCGCTGCCGTACTGCATGCCAAGGGTATTGACTCCACTTTTACGAGACGTTCGGAGCGACGACGACAGCATAGAAGAAGTTTGACGAGACTGCATGGGAGAAGGAGAGAGACGAAAGGATGAATGAGGAACGAAAGCATTCGCTGTCATTGCCATGCTTGCCAACGCCACGATAACGGTACATGTAAAGCGCGACATGGCCTCGAAGTCTTAGGCCGGGCGGGGCTTTATAAAAGTAATATATGTATCCGTACCGGCCGTATCCGTAGCAGGTCCTACTTCTGATAGCTTTGAGGTTTTCAAATAAGCCTACAAAAGTTGAAATGAGGGCTATGATGATTGGATGCTGGGATGACAAACCTCAGTGAATGATTGCACATTCACATTCATGATGTTGGACGATGTACAAAGCAAGAAATCAGCAAAAAAGGTGATGAGATATAGCAAATGTTTGGCGAATGTTTGGTTAAAAGATGTAGCGAATGTTTGGATTCTTGCCTCTCGCAATGGATTTCAGAGACCATCAATCGAACTCCCCTTACTTCGACGTCATTTTGAAGCATTATTGCAAATCTTTTTCGTTGCTTCGATTTTCACTCTTGAATCTTACGCGCACTAAAACAGATGGAACGAAAGCAACAGCTTAAAAGAAAGATTGAACAAAAAAAATTGTTGGAAAAGCAATCACGAAAGATTGAGGTTTCCATCCTTTGGATTGCTTCTTCCTCTTTACACCAATCAGGTTGAAGAAAGGATCAGAATTGCTGTCAGCAAGCGAGAAAACATGACACCTGAAATGTTATTGGAGGACCAACGAACACGAAAGTATTTTACGATATCAAGTGTTTTGTACGCTTACCACCATATGACTCAGAGAGGCACGAGAAACAAGGAAATGTCTGCATCTTGAACAGAAATTGTTATTTCAGAAGGCGCAAGAGTCGAATTGTCATGGTTTACCTCCTTGTAATACGATATGTAACCGGACTGATGACAACTTCTGCAGTTGTCTTTGATTTACAATTTGTCAACTTAATGAGTGAGAAAGAACTCAATAGTCTGCTGCGACAGCTCATGTTGATATACTCGATGGTGAGTCAAGTTGAAACAATTTGCATTATCTAACTGCGTTATCTGACTGTTATCAGAATGGTAAATCGCAATCTCCGGTAAAGTTGGTCTTATCAAGCTACAGCGAGTATGTTGAGAATCAATTGATGAAGTTTCATGTTGGAACTTTATTCGCAAGACGACTTCTCTGCTCATATGCATCCAGGGATCGGAAAACTGGTTTATCGAGAAGACCCAGTCGAGCTTCAATGAGCACTATGCAGATAGGATACATTCGCTTGTATATCTGACAGGTCTCATTAGGAGATTGATTGAAACTGCGATCTGACGATGCCAGTGCAGCTGATTCAGAAGAGGAAATTGAGTCCATAGACGACGGCATAGTAACTTGAAAGGTTCCCTCATAGACTTGGAATGAGATTTCCTTCAGGTTTATGTAGTGGGTGGCCTGGTGGATCGAAATCGACACAAGGTTGAAGTTGCCATAGACTCGTGGATATTCACGTTTTTCTTTTGCAAGGGGGCAACTTGGTATACTGCACAAGAAACGGAGATAAGAACAAGAAAAATACCAGTCAAGAAATATGTACAACTTGTAAACGGATTCAGCGAAGTTCTTACCGTCAATCAGGTCAGAACCTCATAGGGGGCCAGGAGTTGGGTGACAACTGTTCATTCAGGTATTTTCAATCGTTCTCAAATTAAGAGAAGGATTATCCATGATGGATGCGTGTTATCATAGCATTCCAAACAGAAAAAGAATAAATGAATGATAAACCAATCAAACAGCAGCAGTACAGAATCAGGAACAAAAATCTTACTTCTCACCTGGAGAATTGGATTACGGTGAACTACAGTATCTATTTCAATGAATCACTGTAGCAATCTTTCTTGAAATTACGTTGAGCCGTTTAGGACAAAATCGACGGCAAGCGGAAAGCAATCATTGAAAAGAAATCATTGAAAAGAATCAGTCTAGTTTATTCAATCTACATATTCACATCCAATGTCATATACATGCGCTCACTTCCAATCACAGGGCCACGTGTCTTCCAAGTGAGTCCTTGATCCTCCGATGGCACTTGATCATCTCCATCGATGCTTTGAGAGCTGCGAGCTGCTTTGCCCTCGATGGACATCCGTACTGGCTGCGCGCCTTGTCATCGTTGGTCCTACGGAGGGGGCGGTCCAAAGGGTCTTGTTGCGAGGAGGCGAGGAGGCGGGAGCTGGGACGAGCTGGAGAGCAGCGGGGCTCATCCTTGAGGTCCTCGTCGCGAAGAGGCTGACGGGCTGGAGGGAGGATGTCGGCAGGAGCGTGCATGGGAATGAGGACGGGGAAGGTTGTGGTGGAGCCAGTGTGACCTCAGGGCTCTCTAAAGCAGGAGGGCGGGAGTCTCGAAGCTTCGAAAGAAGGTAATAGGGGGGTCGGAAAAGAGGGCTGACAAAGATCACGAGGAGCCTTACAAAGGTTGCTGACCCTTCCTGTAAAACACAGCGTTCCATACACGCGCTTGATAATATACAATACGTATAGACGTTTTTGCTGATCGAGCAGTATAGAAGGCTTCAGGTCGTGCGGGTGATGACAACAGAAGAATCTGAAGATTGATTCTAGATGAGTCTGTGACAATGTGATGAGAGACACCTTGTTCTTCAAAGAGTCGTGGACCCGCCCCAGTGTAATGATGTCAATGTCACAAACTTCAAATGCGACATGCGAAATTTGAAATAAAGAAAGCTGTATTTCAAACAATGTCTGTAAAGCTCAGTTACACAGATTGCCGTTTCAAATTCCTTCTACCACCTTCTACCGGTATCCGTGTTATTTACTACAAGAAATGGACAATGAATCGTTGCTTTCTAGGAGAGAATGATTTTGATGCCTTACACTAACCCCTTCGCAGGGTCAGCAACCTCTGTAAGGCTCCTCGTGATCTTTGTCAGCCCTCTTTTCCGACCCCCCTATTACCTTCTTTCGAAGCTTCGAGACTCCCGCCCTCCTGCTTTAGAGAGCCCTGAGGTCACACTGGCTCCACCACAACCTTCCCCGTCCTCATTCCCATGCACGCTCCTGCCGACATCCTCCCTCCAGCCCGTCAGCCTCTTCGCGACGAGGACCTCAAGGATGAGCCCCGCTGCTCTCCAGCTCGTCCCAGCTCCCGCCTCCTCGCCTCCTCGCAACAAGACCCTTTGGACCGCCCCCTCCGTAGGACCAACGATGACAAGGCGCGCAGCCAGTACGGATGTCCATCGAGGGCAAAGCAGCTCGCAGCTCTCAAAGCATCGATGGAGATGATCAAGTGCCATCGGAGGATCAAGGACTCACTTGGAAGACACGTGGCCCTGTGATTGGAAGTGAGCGCATGTATATGACATTGGATGTGAATATGTAGATTGAATAAACTAGACTGATTCTTTTCAATGATTGCTTTCCGGTTTCCTCGCCCTCACATGGTTCAAACATCCGAAGGAAACAAGGTGATGCTTATCCTTCAATGTAACGTCTGAGAATTGTAGTTTTCATAGATGCTACAACGCTTGTGAATCTCGCTCGCATTTGCAGAATCTGAGCCTGTGGGAACAGCTTGAGCATCGTCCTTGTTGGTTGTCTGCGGTGGAATGAGAGAATAGATCATTCAACATAGGTACCTATATCTGTCCATGCTCTTGAGGCCGAACTTGTCATTGACGCAGCCTAATGTATGGAGAAAAGAAGGGAAAGAGGCTTGAATGTCAAGACGAAATCAGGTGAAACATCATGAATGTACTTTATTTCCGGCTTCATCATCCTACCAGTACATGTCAGATGTGATATATTGGAGAGGTTTTGCACCTCTAAAAGCTGCATTCGCTTCATCAGATCTTGAAGCATGTAGCTTGCAATCAGCCCTCCCGGCAGTGATCCGCACTGTCTGTAGATTTCCTTTGCCTGATGAAGTTGTCAAGTCAAAGTTGCCAACTGCAGTAGACGAGGTTCAGAGAGACCTGGTCAGCCTCCCCTAAACTCTCATATATCAGCCCCATCTGGACGTCAACATGTCAGACACGCGCTGGTGGGAGCAGAAATCTATTCCTTAATGTAGTTCTGTGCATTGCTGGTCCCCTGCTTCGCGTGCAGTTCAATCGCCTTCTTGTATGACGAGACAGCATCTTGATACTCGCAGGCCTTGGTCTGAGCCGACGCAAGATTCTCCCACTGCATGCAAAACAATTTCAGCATCATAAAACCTGACACGCTTCTTGTTAAGTCACAAAGGGAAAGAAAGTTCCGACGTTCTCAGGATCGTCCTTGTCGTTTTGTAAGATCTTTTGCAATTTCTCTACTTCTTCTGACAGAACTACGAATGCAAGTCAAGACTCACGTGTGTTCTCAGAAACAATAGGCCTTACCAGACAGTGACAGTCCACCATCCTTGGCCGAGCGAGGCTTTGGTTTGTCAAGAGCACCTAGGTTTAACTGGCGGCAGACTCTTTCCTTGAACTCCTCGTAAGTTTCAGTCTCCGGGGAGTTTGAGTCTATCGTAATCGTCGACAAGTAGGGCCGAAAGAACTCGAAGTTTTGGACAAGGACGAGAGTTACTCGATTGGCTGCAATCGAGTCTGATAGCATTTGCACGCTCGCAGAATCCTCAGGAGGTCTGTTGGGACGAAGAAGACTTGGACCCAGCACAGTTGCCATGCCTTGAGCCGACATCTTGTTCACATCAACATTGTCGATGATTTCGACAGCAAGCTGACCAAAAAATATCAGACAAGCGGTTCTCGAATGCATGAATGTCACCTCCAGCAATGCAGTCAAGAGTCTCTTATTGCAATCAGGTAATAGACATACGATGCGACCAAGTTTCTCCAACTAGCGATCAGTCGTCAGATCCTCATTTCACTAGTCACTTGCTGCTCACCTTCGATTCAGGTACCTTCGCTTCAGTCTTCGTGTCGATCAATTGCACTAAATCTTGGTAGAACTCAAAAGGAACGACTGGCTCTGGCAGCTCGCGAAGGTACAGTTTTAACAAGCTCGCCACAGTGTGGATATCTGCCTCTTCTTCCACATCGTAGTCTCCAACAACATCAAACAACAACCGCAAGCGCTGAATTCGCAGAGCAGATCCAGCAACACGAAGGATTCCTTCAATCTTCAGTCCTCTCTGCTTGATTGCTGCAATACATCTCTTCGCCACGACAGGAAGCTCCAACAAACTGTTGGTGCTGCGCAAGTGAACTTCAAGGGAACACCCGAACACTTTGGTGCTTGATGCCTGAGAAGAGATCGCTGTGATCCATCGCTGAACATCATTGTCTGACTGACCAGCAAAGTTTATCACTTCTGTGGATTCTGAGTCTGCACTACGCGCAGGCAACTGAAGGGCGAAGGTGTACGGGCGCTTGCTGGAGGAGTGGCAAGGAACGAGACTCACGCCCTCAAGGAGGATGATTGACTTTGGCTCCTGGTCTGCATCTGGTCTCGAGGAAGTGTTGTAAAGGTAGAGTGCCTCTCTACCTACAGCCACCCATCGCTTCTTCCATGTTTTCACCCCAATCAAATTCTTGTCCTTGCTCTGTTTGTAAAGAATTCCTTCCAGAACAATATCAAGGAAGAGCCTTGTTGAAGCTCCTCTTGCCTCGGGCACCTGCGGTCGCGGCATTGTTGTTTGCAGCTGCTCATAATCCTCGTCCTGCACAAGCGCCTTCAAGTCCTCGACCTTATGAATCTTTTGAAGCCCTTTTTCAGATACTATATTTGATAAGAAGACTATTCTTTCCCTGCAGGCAAACGATGGGGATTCGACATACACCTTGCAAGCATGCTTTGTAATCTGCCTACCAAGTGCCAGGTAGCACCTCCTCCACCAGGCAAAGGAGGGGAGGCGGACGGAACGTGAATGTCGATAAAGCAACGAGTATTTAGCGTCCGAAACATCATCCAACTTCAACAAGACAAAATGAAATGCTTGTTGCCATTCTTCTTCTGTGGAGTCAATTAGGGTCTTGTCATCAACAACCACAAGCTCCTCTCCCTGCCGCGTCTTGAACCGACGTCTGAACAAGAATGGAGTTACACAGTAGTGAGGACAGCAGAAAGCTTACATGATGCCTCTGTCCTCGAAGCGAGAGAGATCGGTGGTTCTTGCTCTTCTTCGCATCTCCTCTTGTAGAGTCATAAACTGATGCTTCTCTTGAACTTGGAGCCCTCCCGCCATCCCCGTCGCCCACCATAGCGCCCGCCGCGGCATCTACAGCATTGTTGAATCGCCGCACTTCGCTATGGCCCAGGGGAGGGGTAGTGAGAACGAGGAAAAGAGGGGGTTGGGGATTGAGGCAGCTGGAATCCCTGAACAAGAATATGCTTTGTATGGCAGAGAGAGCAGCGAGGATGATGGGAGAGCGAGCGAGCGAGCGAGAGAGAGAGAGAGAGGGCGAGGGAGCGAGACAGAGGGCGAGGGAGCGAGCGAGAGAGAGAAAGAAGGGGAGAGAGAAAGAAGGGGAGAGGGGGGAATGGAGGGAGAGAAAGAGGGGCCGGGAGGGGGGGAAGTGGCCGAGAAGGAGGGGGGGAGAGAGATAGGAAGAATGAACAACGCTAGAAGGGGAAAAAGGAATGGGGAATCAAAGAAGAGAAAGCAGGGGTCATGGCCTTCATAGTTTGAGTCCATCATATTCTGAGTCTAGCATTGTCTGCTTGCGAACCAATGGCAAGGCGAGAATCAGAGGTTGGTTGTTCCCCATCGAGGTATAAAGGTTCCCGCGATCGGAGTCGACTGCATCTCACTGATGCCATTCATGACCATGTCCATAGTGAACGTTAGAATATGGGAAAACTAGTGACCAGTGTGAAGTATGAAAGTTATGGCATGAAACTTCGCAGATTAGCAAACCCATTGTCACGCGCTTGAGATGTAGATACCAAGTTGTTATTGGAAATCAGTGACCAAACAGAGAAACAAAACGCAACTTCTTGGAAATGGTGCCGCATGAAGAATTCTTCAAATGGCAAGACTATGCAGCTTGATGATCGTCATGCAAATTTCAAGGCTGTTGTATCTTATTCTGCAATTTCTTCTCTAGTTAGGTTTCAGTCAATGTAAAACAGTAATTGTGCTTTAATCTTTCCTTCAGCCTGCTGTCCTACCACCAAGATGCTTTCTCTGTTGTCGAGTCAGTATGCACAGACTGTGACTGACGAGTGAATGAAAGAGATGACAGAAACTTCCATGATGTTGAAACAAAACAGAGAAACCTGATCGGTGCTTTTTGCCGTTACGATGATTTGAAACATTGTTTCACCCTGCTACCAATATCTATAGATTCTTAGACAAACCTCTATCACCTCGTAATCTGTTCATTAAAGTGCTTGTCTCACTCTCTGCTCAATGAAGCCTGTATCACTCTCTTTCCATCTATGTCTTTTTGAAAATTCATTCGTGTCTCTTTTCATATATGTCTCTTTTCATAAATGTCTCTTTTCATGTATAGCGCACTCATTCAAGGCCCTCTGACACAGGTTATGATGAAAAGGGGCAACAAATCGATATGATGCGAGGATTCGTAACTGTACACAACTCATTAAGTATTATCTCGAACAATCCTTTATCGTAATCGCCTCTGAAGTGTCGACCGGCAAGTTCAGTCCTGTACAAGTCCTCAGCACAACAGATCTCAACGTCATCTGCAGTACACAGCTCAGCTAATTTGGTCCTATTGTAGTACAAAAACATCTTTGGGGTGCAGAAAAGAAAAAGGAGAAATAGGAATCAAACCATCTGCCAAGTTACTGGCATGATCCTGACGAATGCTTGAGATATTCGATGAACGAACCTTAATTCTCGTGGAATGTATCAATCTACAGTCTTCTTATCCTTGTTCAAAAAATACGGAAGATTTGAACATGGTGGGATTGGGGATCATTGCAAACCAACCGATTTATTCGCATTTACAGATGCATGCGTGTACGGTGTTGTATTGTAACCGCAACGATCAATCATCAAGGGGGCAAAGGTAGATGCATGGAAAGCCAAACAGTAGGCAGCATATCCAGCTCTTGACACCGCAGTACTTCTGTCGGGTCTGGACTATCACCGTCGTGTTCCCGCCGCCGCCGCCGCCGCCGTATCCACCACCACCACCACCACCACCACCACTGGAAGCATTGTTGCTGTTACCCAAGTTGGCGTTGTTGATGACAGGTTCTGATTTCTGTCATGCATTCCATATCAGATGTTATAAACTGTAGGTTGAACTTACAGTAGCGGCGGCCACCATAGCAGCGTTTTGTGCCTGCTGGTTGTTCATCATCTGAAAAGGTAATATCAACATGTGTGAAAGATTGCAAGAGGCCAATCAAAACCTGCATCATCATCATCTGCTGCATGAAATCAGGGCCCTGAGATGAGGACGATGGGACAGCAGGCTGAGCAACAGGTGTTTGCTTGTCATCGGCCATCCCGAAAGCTTGACTGGCTGAAAATGAAGAAATAAGTGGGCTGCTTTGAACAAATCTTTCAATGTTTTCAAAAGCAAATCATTCACGCCATGCCCTTCTGTTGCCAACAAACAGCCTATCTGTGAAGAAAATCTTGTAACTGAGGATAAGATGAAAAGAACTTGTTGTCTATGCTTGTCAGACAAGTGACTCAACAAAAGTAAGGTGGAAGGACAAAGAAAACTTGGCAAGCTTCCACATTGGAATGACACAATTACTATCATGAGCACAGAGTGAAGTGCATGGCCTGCCAGTGCCCATGGCACAGGTGTGATCAGAGCGGCAAATCAAGCTTGCTTCCTCGCATGCTTTTATCCCCTCCCCGGTCCCCGCCGTTTCTCAGCAACTCAGAGGCACGCTTTCAAAGCACTACCCCCGGTACTTTTGTACCCCCACACTCGATACTGTGGACCCCTGTTTTCTAGCCACCGGTCGTTGCCACTAACCGTCCGGCCCTACTTGGCACGTGGCTGGATTTTGGGGTGGGGGGCCTACCGCCCCTGTGGCAGGCGGACCTGGGGTAGTACCCGCAACTTGATTCCTAGCTGAGCCTCGGAGTGAACCCACGGCCACCCCCCCTTGAACCCAGCGCCGGTTGGTGAAAGAACCGGGTCACTTGATCCGCCGCCGCATGAGAGGCTAACCGGGGCGTCAGTTAGTGGGTTAATGATACTGTTGAGCCAGTGAGGGGGGGTAGGGTCATGGCAGCCGAACTTGAAAATGACGCGGCAAAGGCTCAGTAACGGTCATGTGGCTCTGAAGCCTTGAAGGGCCAAACTTGCCTGTAAAACTACCCACAAACTACTACCGAGCAAAGTCTCTCTTTACTCAAAGTTAAGTTAAAATCAGTACGAGACCGTACGAGGCTCCTGATTGGGCCGTCCGATGTCCTCGTACCGTACTGATTTTTGTACTTAACTTCAGGAGCCTCGTCACAGTACTTGCCGTGCGGTACCGTACGCCGCCCCCCCCCCCCCCCGGGTCCGACGATCCGGAATGAGGCCCGACTCAGACTCGGAGGCCTAAATTGAGTATTAATGATCTCGGTGACCGTCCCGTACCGTGTTCGCCCCCCGGGTCCGGCGTCGGATGCCGGCCGCGGGGGCCATGATGATGGCTGGGATCGCGCCGGGCCGCCCCCCAGATCGCCACAGTCACTCATCCCGGTCCGGTGCCCGCCGCCGGGCCGCGGCCAGCACGCGGCCCGGCTGCCGCAGTGTGAGCGGCCCCCGGGCCCAGTGTGCCAGCCTGAGTCACGCCGACGGTCACTGGCCCGGGTGCCAGCCTGCCGGACCGTGCCAACCTGGTGTACGGCGGCCCGGCGCGGGCCCATGCGTGCGGGGGCCGCGCCGTGTGCCCAGTGCCGCTGTGCGGCGTCCGATCAATTATGCCGGTGCCACCGTCTGATCCGGGACTGCTGCGCGGACTCACTGAGGCTCCGAGGCCGCTCAGGCTCAGTCGGCACCGTGACGCCCCGGCCCCGGCGGGCCTTCAAGCCAGTGACAGCGGCCGCGGCACTGCCCGGCCCGGGCTGCCGCGCGGCCAGTGCCCGGCCAGGACTGAGTTGTAATTGAATGTAGAGGCATGGGTCCGAGGCAAGCCCGCATAGGACAGTGGGGGGTTGTAGGGGATGGGGGGTAGGGTAAAGGATCGACGATGCTGCTGGAATGGCTGCGGGGGCTGCTGCGGCTGTTGGGACTGTGGAAACGAGATGCGACGATTCTGCTGCTGGGTAATGACAAGAATACCGCCTTGCATGCTCCCTCCACCTCTACATCTGCTGCCTCCTCCTCTCATCTACCTCTGCTCACTCTTCGTTTATCGTAACATTCCAACTTGTTCGAGATCGTAGAGTGCAGTTGCCCCGCCATACTCACTTCACCATGCTCATACCCACCCAAACACCCTGATGGTCTCCATCCATCCCAAAGTTGTTTTGGCTCTCCTCAACCTCTCTGGCACCTGCTGTTTCACTGTGACGACGCCTTGCTGCCTCATCGTCCCGTTGCCTTGTGGAGCAACACGTTTGGTTGTGACGTCATAATGCAGGACTGGATAATGCGGGCAAGTCAACATTGTTGCACAAGCTATGCAGCAACGAGCTTCGTCCTTTCGTGCCCACAACCAAAGCGCATTCCAAGACCTTCTCTCTGGGCAACATTAAATTCACCGCGTGGGATCTCGGAGGACACGAGCAGGTTGCTCTTCTTTCCATGCGTACGACACTGACCCTGCGCAGGTTCGGGATCTGTGGGAGGAGTACTACTCAGGGGCAGACGCGATCGTGTTCATGGTGGATAGTGCGGATCGCGCGAGGTTTGGGGAGGCGAAAAGAGAGATCCAGCAGATCTTGTCTGTGGAGGACATCGCAGATGTTCCCATCCTTGTGCTGGGGAACAAGATCGATCTTGAGGTGCGCGAAGAGAAGGAGACTAGTCATGGCCGTGCTGATGACAGGGTCAGGCAAGTGTTGACAAAGATCAGTTAGCAGAGGAGCTGGGGCTGGATGACCTTGAGAAGGAGCGGGATGTAGAGGTGTGTCCTCCTCCCCTCCTCTATCTCCTTCCTCCCCTCTCTCGTTGTTCTCACCAGCTACGACGCAGCCCTCGCTCGTCTCTTGTTGTCCTATCGCTCCTCCCATTTCATTTCTATCGCTCCTTCCATTTCATTTCTCGTCCTTGTGTCTACCTCAACCTGTTGCTCCTTTGTCCCTCCTCCTCCTTTGCCTCACCTCACTTTCCTTCAGGTTTTCAGCTGCTCGCTGGTGAGTGGCTCAGGGTACTACGATGGCTTCAAGTGGTTGTCACAAAAGTTTTGAGAGCTACTGATGCAAGGGATGAGAGAGCGGAGCGAGGAGGAGGAGCATCGCAGGGTGGAGTCGCGGGAGGGGAAGAGGAAGAGAGCTGGGGTGAAGGTGAGAGCAGGGAGGTGTAGGAAGGGGCTTTCTCCGACAAAGTTTGTGATATTCATAAATTACATACGAGCAAGACAGCGAATCTTTCCACATCAGCGTTAGGAAGTTTCTGACGATAAAGATATTGTTTCAACCGCAGGTCCTCCTCTAGCTATCTGATCTTTACCCCTCTTCCTCACTCAGCTCCTGCTGCTCGCGTTGAACCCGACCGCAGCTTCACGCGCCAGAAGAAGGCGTCGAAGCTGAGAACCTGCTGGGCACTCAGCGCTATAGGGGTCAGTGAGGACGCGAACCTTGTCGTGATGCGTGATAAGAGCTGGGAAACTGCAGCAGGGTCACCATCCCGTCCGAGCCATCTAAGCTCACCCGGCCGCCTTGAGGATGCAGTTGGCGAGGATCCTGCCGGTCCTGCCGTTCCCGTCCTACCGCAGCCGTCAGGCTTGAGGAGTGGATGGCAAGAAACAAGAGGAGAGGAGACGAGTGGGTGACCTTGAAGGGATGGATGAAGTAGACCAGCACTGAGTACACGAGGTACGCTCGTAGCGCCTGCCATGGAGTCAGACGGGAGGAAGAACAGGAGGAAGGAGGCGATGGGAGGAGGACCTGGTTGGACGAGCAGGCAGGGTGAGAGTTGGCGTAATCGAAGAGGAAGTCCATAAGACGCTCGACCTCCTCGAAAGGCACAAAGCAGCGATAGCTGGAGGATGTCAATCAGCTCAAGAAGCAGTAGGAGAGAGAAGAGGAGAAAAAAGAGGCGAGGAGACGAGATGCAGGGAGGAAAAGGAGAGGGAATGCTTGCAAGGGAACTTGCGGACGAGAGGGGAGGTTAGGTGGAGACTTACGCTGAGATGTGGTTTCCTGTTCCTGTCACAATCTCTTTCCTGTACTCTCCCGACAGGTTGACATCGAGGGTCAGGCAGCTAAGAAGCAGCCATCAGTCACGGAGCTGTAAACTAAAAAATCAGCTACCGGTGGATCTGCTTCACTTCCTTGGTGTCAATCGTCTTTGGCCAGTCCTGCCAGCACGCACAGATAGCTTAGAGGTAACTCCCGCTCCTCCTTCACTCCCCTCTCCTCCTTCACTCCCTCTCCTCCTTCACTCCCTCTCCTCCTTCACTCCCTCTCCTCCTTCACTCCCTCTCCTCCTTCACTCCCTCTCCTCCTTCGCTCCTCTCTCCTCCTTCACCTTCCTCTTCAACTGCAGCTCAGCAATCTTTGCAGCAACCTGTCATCGAAACGTCAGTCCTGCCTGCCTATGCGTTCACTCCACCTCTGATTTCCTTCGCACATCCACTACAGCACGATCTCCCCTTCCTCCTGCTATTTCTCTTGCTGCCCCGTCTCCTCTTCTTTGTGCTGCACACTCCGCTCCTCACCTCCTTAGCGTCGCTTTTGGCTGGCGGGTTGTCGGCAGGAGCAGCTGCAGGAGCAGCTGCAGGTGCGCTCGGCATGCTGGGCTGGACAGACTTGATGGCGCCTGACAGAGCGGAGGGAGGGAACTGCGAGGAGGTAGCGTATCCGTAGGACGTGGCTGTGCGGTAGGCGGTGGAGAGACCCGCTGGAGCACCCGGGCGGGTGGAGGAGTAGGAGGTGCGCGCGGTAGAGTAGGAGGTGCGAGTGTAGTAGGTCGTTGCCAGCCTTGTGCTCCCGCTCCCCGTCCCCCCCGAGAGCCTCCCAAGAGTCTCCCAAATCTCAGCCTCAAAGAGCAGAGGAGGAGAAGCGTCGCCCGCAGTGCTGACGTCTGGTAGGAAGGCAGCTCCATGGCTGAAAGGCGAGGTGAGGAACGATGGAGCCGGCAGGAAATGAGAGATGAGGAGGACGGTCAACGAGATTCATGAACAGGAGGGAGGAGGGAGGAGGGGAGGAGGGAGGAGGGAGGAGGGAGGAGGGAGGAGGTAGAGATGCTACCGTTGGACATATCTTTCATATTCAGAGATGGTATTCTTGAGCCAGTCGACGATCATCTGACAGCCAGTGAACGGCCCAGCAATCAATAACAAGACTGACCTGCATGGCGGGAGATTCGAGTTGAGAGAAGAAAGGAATTTGTCCTGCAGGAGAACTGCCGACTGATTCTGAAAAACAACCATCGCAATTACAACAAAAACTCCAACAGAGCAAGCAATGTTGGTCCCTTCCTCCTCTCGTCCAGTCCATTGCCCAACCTCAACTTCTAGCTGCATCACCTTTCGCCAACCTCCTCTCATATGAACTGGTCTCCCTCGATTTCTCTCCCTCGATTTCTCTCCCTCGATTTCTCTCCCTCGATTTCTCTCCCTCGATTTCTCTCCCTCGATTTCTCTCCCTCGATTTCTCACCGAGGGCTTTCAGGTAGCTCCAACATTCGCCTTGGACTGGCTCAACATTGATGGACACCAGGAACTTGAGGGCAAACTGAATCTCGTCGGCGCTCTGCTGCAGCTGAGAGACGAAGTTGGACTCGTCTTCGCCCTCCTGCAACCTCGCACTGCTCGTGCAAGTTTGCATTTGAGGGATCAACGCGCCGAAGACTGGAGGGAGAAGTCAAGGGAAGACAAGTAGAGAGAAGTGGAGGTATGCAAGAGAACGAGGGAAGAGTATGGAAGAAGAGGAGTGGGGAGAGATGAGGAGGAGAGGGGCGAGGAGAGGGGAGGGGGTGGGGAAGAGAGAGGGGGAGAGAGAAGGAGAGGGAGGCGAGGGAAGTGGGAGGAGAGGGAGGAGAGGGAGGAGGGAGGAGAGGGAGGAGGGAGGAGAGGGAGGAGGGAGGAGAGGGAGGAGGATGCAAGGAGGTAGAGGCAGGCGGGAAGGGGCAGACCTAGGAGGGCAGTCTTGTGGTTCTGAGAGTCGAGGGAGAAGATGAAGTTGGTCAGGATGGGCTTGAGACCGTCTGCCAGCAGAAGCTCCTCGATGAACTCGCTCATGTCCTGCACGTCTTCACCGCTCACTCCCCTGCTGAAGTTCTGCTGGCCGTTTCCACTCTCTTCGCCCATCTTTGACATGCTCGTGGTGATTTGATTGACTTGCGCTTCACTTGCGGTCAACCGCATCAGGAGCCAGTTTGCGTACTCGTTCGCAGAGATTGACCCGACTGTCAGCTGTTGAATCCTGAAAGTGATCTGGGGACAAGGTTGGTCAGGGTCCGGGGGTAACGCAAGGATGCGATGGAGAAGTTGGAATGGCGAGGTGGGAGAGAGAGAGAGAAAGATCGTTACATTGTTGTGCCGTGATGATAGATGATCCTGTGATCGTGAAGTTACAAGAAGAAATCAATTGATTGCATTTCACCTGTACAGCAGACAAGTTTCTTTTGATGGTCGTTATCAAGTCCTCCACCTGATTCACCACTCAGTCCTCTAGACCTCAACAAGAATTTTTACTTGTTCCGACGTTAAGTCCTCCAACTCCATCCCACACAGATGCTTCAATCGGACCTGACGTGCATTTCACAGCCGACAGGTGATGGAGGAAGGGGAAGGAAGAGGAGAGGAGGAAGAAGAGAGCAGCGAGGGAAGGGGAGGAGGAAATATCAAACAGTATGTCAATGTACAGGAGAAGTTTGGCGTTACCTCCATCTCAGCGATTTGAACAGCTTCTTGCCTTCTTAGTCCTCTCTGCAAGGAACTTTAACTTGAAGAAACTCGGTGTGAGAGCAAGCATTACCTCCGTGTAGAGAAGTTCCTGCACTTGCATGCGACTGTTTCTTTCCATAATCAACTGCAGCAGTCGTGATCTAATCATCCTGACTGCCTCCTGTACTTCTACCTCCTTCCACACACCTCTATCATCATCATCATCACCACCACCACCACCAAGAGGACATGGACAGGGACAGGGACAAAACCGCCAACTAGAACAAGAAGAACAAGAAAGTTTCATGACTTCACCTCATCTTCCATTCGATGGATCTTCGCCAGCAATCTCGCCATGTCTCCGTTGCTCGCGTCTGCCCCGCTCGTAGAAATGTTTCCTCCGGAGCTGAAGCCCCACCCTCCTGCCCCAGCTCCTCCCCCTTGGCTCCCGCGGCTTGAGTTGTGTCCTCCGCTGAGGAAACCATGGCTGCCGTCGGCCTGCCTCCTCGTCGAGGAGAGCTCGGACTCTTGCAGCTGACATGCGCGTCAGAAAGCAGCAGCAGAACAACCTCCTTGACCTTAGAGAGATCGAGAACAAGCAGCTCCCGCGTAGCCTTGCGCAGAGTGAGCAGAGTCAAAAGCGTCGGGAAAAAGGGGCTTTAGGTTGAGGGAGAGGGAAAGGGAGAGGGAGAGGGACGATAAGCTTTTGAGCCCTTCACCTCCCCAGACTCTCTTGTCCCTCCGAACACAAACATCGAACTTCCGACTACAACTCCAGAGTGCTCTGAGCAGCCCTGCGACAGGTCAACCGGCCGTGAAGCAGCGTGGGAGAGGCAAAGGGAGGATGAAGAAGGAATCGGAGGAGGGGGAATCCATGGGTAAATGGAGAAGCTTGAGGCTTGGGGGAGAAAGAGCGGAGGAGACGAGGAGGGCAAGGAGGAGGGCGAGGAGAAGATGAAGGGCGAGGAGGAAAAGCGGAAGCTAGAGATTGCCTGTGGGTTAATTCCTGTCATCTGCGGACGAGACCACAGCCAAGTCTCTGTGGAGAGGATGTGCAAGGTGTTCCTAGCAAGGGACCTTCAGCTCTCCTTGACCTCTCTTGCTCCTCCCCCGTGTACCAGAATTGCGTGCCCACCCTCGTGTAGCAGTATCCTCCGAAGATGGCGAGGGACGAGCCGATCGCCACAGCGACATGGCCGGAGGTGGGAGCAGGAGGCGCCCCGCCGCACGCAGGTTTGATCCAGCACATCTTGTCGCTGGACAGCATGAAGAGCTCCTAGGGTTGCCGTCAGCGACAGCACAGGAGCAGGTGGCTCTCTGCCTGCGAGCAATGCTGATCGACGTGCCCCCCGAACATGATGTAGCTGTCTCCACCGTTGGCTGCCGTCCAGATAGCAGTCAACGTGTGCCCCGCCCTTCCTCTTGGAATGCTTCCGACGGAGTTGGGCTTCACGAGACCAGTCAATAGGCTGGAGGTGGAGGAGAAGTAGAAGGGGAAAAGACAAAAAGGGGGGTGGGGGGAAGAGAAAGGAAGAGGGAGGGAGAGGGGGGGGTGGTGGTGGTGGTGGAGATGCTGATGGTGGCGGAGGACGAGGCATCTTTTCACCTGAGTCCATTCGCCTTTTTCGATGTCGAACAACCAAAGAGCATTGTCATAGCGTTTTTTGCTGACCTGCATCTCGCAAACGTCACATGTTGTCAGAGATAACTTTAGTATTCGTCGACCTGCCCTCCAAACACCAACATCTTTCCCTCCTGCTCAGAACCATTACAGGAAGCTCGCCCATGTCCTGACCCTCCCACCTTGGTCACCACAGCCGCATGGTGAGAGCGACCTGGAGGAATCTTTCCCTTGGCCTCAATCTTCCTCCAGCTGAGACCGTCGAGGTTCAGTGCGTGTACCTACATGCCATGTCAGGGTAGCTCAACATTCATCAGCTCCCATCACCTCGCTGATAAACTTTGATCCTGATCGTCCTCCATACAGGTACACTACTCCATTGATCCTCACAGCGGAGTGCTTCCATCTTTGAGCGCAAGTTACCATCACAGCAGCATTCTCGTTCAGCAGTGATACGTTGGGACAGCAGGTGATCCCGTTGTTTGCACCAAGCTCCAAGTCAAGTTCTCAGTGTCAAGGAGGTAGCTAGAGGAGAGTAGAAGTGAGTCAACAGACAAGACAAACGAGAGATGTCAGCGAGCAAGACGAGCGGGTCAGTAGCAGCGCACCAATCTGTTGTGACAGCGTTGGCTACTCCTCCAAGGACAAGCATCTTCGTCTCGCTGATCGAAACAGCCGCATGCCCCCACCGCTCATGTGGGGCGTTCCTTGCAGAGGGTCAGAGGGGAGCAGGAGGCCTCCATGTCAACCTCTGCGCCGGCTTGTTCCACCGCAGAATGGGGTCACGAACACGTCCGCCGAAGGCTGAGGGAGGAGCGGAATCAGGTTGTAGAAAGAGCAAGGCTCGTGTATGACAGGGCAACACGGGGAGAAATCGGCAAAGAATGTCACATCAACGATGACGATGGTGAGGTTTTGGTCCACAAGATCATAAGGGGAGGAGACATCCCCACCTGTTATCGAACCCCCGCTGTTGAAAGTTCCGTTGCTGTTGTAGCTGCTCCCGTCATGATTGCGAGGAAATCGAAGGAGGAAGAGGAGGAAGCGGAGGGACGGGGGGAGGGAGGGGGGAGTGGAGCAAGGGAGAAGGAGAGCATCGCTGCTCTACCTGTAAAATCCTGCACTCTGTGCTCCTCCACTAGGGAAGCAGTAGTTCAGACCAGTGTATCCCATCAGCCGCATCTGCTCACCTGGCGAACCCTCCGATGTTCCCGCCGCTGAAGTGACCTGAGTTGCTTCCTCCACCCAGCATGTGCGCCGGCGAGTACATTGAATGAAAGATGGGGTGTGCTCACGAGGAAACGGTACAGACTTCCAGCAGCTTCGATGAGCTGTCTCCGGATATCTCAGCGACCATATCGACAACTATCGAAGCATGGTCAGCCTATCACAAGCATCAGGCATGGATGTCTCGATCGCTCCCTTTCATCCTCTTCCCCATGGCATCTTCTTCGCCCATCCTCTCGCGCCTCGCCCTTCCTACCTGTCCCTCCCTCCCTCCCTCCCTCCCTCCCTCCATTGACTGCTTTACTCCACGCACTATGTCTATTCCCTGGCCTCAAAATGCGCTGAGGCAGATCCGGTTCATATATGTTGAGTAAAAGAGGAAGTGCTCAACATGGCGTCATCGTGTTATGCAAGTAGGGGTAGAGTTTGGAATGGGTGTGCGGCGAGGGAAAGAGGAGAGGAGAGGAGAGGAGAGGAGAGGATAGGAGAGGAGAGGAGAAGATCACACTACACCACATCAGATCAGATCAGATCAGATCAGATGAGTGTTCTTTTTCATGGGCACATCACATGAAGGAAAGTGGGGTGGGAAAGCAAACAACAAAGAAGAAATCAAACCAAACCAAAGGCACACTGGGAGAGACATGATGAAAACCTCAAGACGACAAGTCTCGCACAAGAAGATAGAGCTTGATAGAGAGGAGAGCTTGCGAGGAGAACGAAAGATTTTGAAGCAGGAGCAGCTCAGAATCAAAAGAGGGAGACAAATGCAAAGAATCAGAGGCAGAATGGATTTGCAGGCGTCTTGTTAGGAGGATGAAAGGAGAGAAAAGGTGTATGAAGAATCAAACGTGAATTGCTTCTTTGAATACTTGGTTGACGAACTCGAAAAGCTTGCACAACGTAATCATTTCTGCCATGTCTAATATGCGATTCTGTGTTCAACAGGAATGGTTGTAAAATAGCCTCAACACTTCTCCGCATCAATCAGCTTCCTTTATATTCATGAGCGAAGATCTCAAAACTCGGGTACGAGTCATCGATTTGTCTACCCTCGTTCAATTTGTTCCGCTCGTTGAAGTTATTTTTTGACGTATTGCAACAGGCCAAGACTTTGGCCCGAGAAGCGACAGAGGCTGATCTGCGCGTGAGTTCACTTTTGACACTTTACTTCTTTGACAAGTTGCATCATGTTTGAACATTGTTTTGCCCTTCAGGGAGATCATTCATACGCGGTCGACAAGTATTCAGAAGTTTGCAGTGTCCTGAAACAGCTACTAGAAGAAGGCATTTCCCGCATGTTCAGTTCGCCTGTCATCTGACTCATTCTGCCGCAGGTGGCGTTTCAGATCGTGACAAGGAGACGCTGAACAACAAGCTCAAGCAGTACGAGTATGGATGATCGTCCCTGAAGGTGCGAGTGTTTGAATGGTTTTTCTCAGGGAACGAGCAGCTGTGCTGGAGTCGAAGAGTTTCATTAATGCCTTGCCTGACATTCCCACCGATCTTGATACGCCGTCAGACCCGTTGTCGAAGCATGCTCACAAGAATGAGGGTACCGATCTTGAACGAACGTCACACTCTTGATGCCGTCTTCCCTCCTAGGGGCTGCTTCTCAGGCTGACATCAAGGACTGGGAGCCCTCTTCTACCCTTCCTGTCGTTACAACAGCTGGGAAGGTAGTGGCATGAAAGGTGGGATCCTTGTGTGGCTGAAGCGAAACTACAATAGGAGCCTTCGCTAGCTTCCAAAAGTCTGGAGAACGCTACTGCCATCATCAGCAAAGCAAAGGCATCTTGTCTCCTGGAACATAGTTTTGGCGTTGACGGTTTGATTCCACAGGAGCTCGAAGAGAAATATCAGATTACCACAAAGATCGGTGACTCCGCTCTTCTCAAGGTTGGTAGGCCATGTTGACGACATGCCCAGGAACGACGGCTGTAGCTGCGTACGAGTCAACCAAGAAGCTCGAAGAAGACTATCGCATCAGCGAGAAGGTTTCTTGCCCGGGCTGAGCACAGACGCCATTGACCTCATGGGGCAGGTGATTGAGGGTGCTAAGATAACCTACGAATCGGCCAAGAAGATTGAGGAGGATTACAAAGTGTCAGAAAAAGTGAACCCCGCGCCCCCTCCTACCGCGCTTCCTCAGTGATAGACCATCAGGTTGTGGATGGATTCAAATCTGCAGCTGAATCAGCGCGGCGTGTGGAAGAGGAGTACAAGGTACCTCAACCCGCTTGACGTCCCTTGGCTCAACCTGGGCTCAACCTGATACAGGTCTCGGAGAAGCTCGCTGAAGCCGCTTCCAAGGCTTACTACTCCGCCATCGAGCTTGAGAGGCAGCATCAGGTACGTCGCTACTGCATTCTTCTTCCGTCTCGTTCGCTGCATCAATCGCGTTCACTGTGAGCGTTTCAGCTGCGTCAAAAGTTTGTCACAGCCATACAAGAAGGATGGGAGACCATGAAGGATCTGAGCACGCAGGTGAGGCAGGAGAGAGGAAGGGTGCAAGTCTGACGGTGAAGCAAGGCCATGGAGTATGAGAGGGAGCATAACTTAACTGGCCGAGCGAAAGAGGTCACGATGACGTCCCAAAAACCTTGTTCATGACGGGAAGAGCAGGCTATCATTGAAGGCTGCAGTGTCGCCTCAGAGTACATGAAGCAATCAGTTCAATACTGGAGAAATGGTCTGTCTTTGTTCGTCTTGTTTGTTCTCGACTTCTTTTATACTTACTGATCTCTGTCGCTTAGGCTCGCCAGCCATGATAACTCAGTCCGGGCTCCCTCCGAATGCGGACGTGTAGTGGGAACAGGGAGGTGGAGAGGGAGGGTGCGCAAGGAAGGAGAGGCATAGCACTACTAGAATGTTTTACGATTCTACTTACATCAACTTGTACATCTACGTGACAACGTAAACTACAGTCCAGACATCACGTCAAGTTCCACTGACATGTCTTTGTGCGTTTTCGTTCCCGAATTCATCACAATGCTCACCCTACAAGCTGCAAAAGAGTTTGCACAGTGAAAGGAAAGGGTTCTGCAGAGAGAGAAAGAGAAATGTGTAGCTGAAAGCTACTGCGTGCTGGGATAACTTGAAGGCAAAAAAACGATAGTGAAAGGCCATGGAGATCATTTCTATCAGGCATCCTCCTGCATGCGCTCGGTATCCTTTGAGAGCACTTTCTCCTTGATTTTCTCTGCTGCAGGGCCAAGAACATGTATGCTCTGCTTCAGCTCCTTGAGGTTTGCAACCTTCTCGTGAGTCTTCTTGGTTGCTAGGATACGTTTCTTGATGAAGGTCCTCTCTCGCTTCTCTTTGATCTCTGCAACCTTCTTCATGGCTCTCAGAGTTACTGCCATCTTCTCACGGTCATACTTTTGCGGCCTGTTCCTCTTCTTTTCAAACTCGAACGAGCTGTCAAGAACCATCTCCTTGCCCCTCATCTTCCTGAACGCCTTGGTCCATGCCGTCTTCCTGGGGTTCTTCTTCATCTTGAAGTTCTTATGGCACTTGGACCTGCAGAACCGGAAGCATTGTCCATCGTTTCTCACGAAGGTCATGCCATGGCCGGGGTAGCATGTAGAGGAGCAGAACCAGCACTTCTCCAACCTCATCTTGTCTTCCCCTTGGCTCCCTCCTCGCTGATTTGCACGTGCTCCTTTATTCCCTTCGGACCTCGTCCCCGCTCAGCACTGATAAGGCTCAGACCAGTGCTCGGACTACCGGGCCGGTACCGTCCGACGCCAGGTACGGGCACGGTCCGTCCAGGGCACTGCAGGCTACTCCCGGAGTCCGACCGTCAGTGACCGGGCGGACCCGACGCTGGCGGCGGATCGGACTCCGGGACCGTACTGGCCGACGGTCGAGCGGGGCCCGGCGGTGGCCCAGTGTTGCCAAAACAGCGGCGGCGGCTGGGGCGCCGCGGGCCCGGCGGGCCCGGCCCGGGGCGGGCCCGGGCCTTGCCGGTTAGTGCCACCCGGCCGTCTGGCGACCAACGTTGGGCAGGACTTCGTCGGACTCGGTATTACTACGGTAAGGCTTGGCCGTTCAAGCATGAGAGAGAGTCTCGCCCTGTAACTACCGGCGATGCCGGGCCCGGGCTTCGGCAGTGATCAGTACTTGAGTCATCGTACCAATAACTGAGTTCAATGTTGGCCGGGCGGGCCCGGGGCCGGGGGCTAGCGCCGGGGCCGTGACTCGGACTCCCGGACTCCCGGCGGCCCGGTGGCCGCCCGGCGGGGAGCATCGCCGCAGCCTGCCAGTGGCACTAAAAACTTTTGTTCGAATCGAAGTACCCCTCTGGGATTACACACCCCTGTATTCCGAGATTAAATGACCCCTCCCTGAAGGTACGGGATTGTTTCTCAGCAAGGAAGCCACGCATCGACATTGAATGCTGCGAGGGCGAGGGCGAGGGCGAGGGCGAGGGAGCTCTAACGAGAGAGGAGGAGGACAGGAGATCTCGAGCGGAAGAGGAGGAGGACAGGAGATCTCGAGCGGAAGAGGAGGAGGACAGGAGATCTCGAGCGGGAGAGGAGGAGGAGGAGGAGGAGGAGGAGGAGGAGGAGGATGAGGAGGAGGAGGAGGAGGAGGAGGAGGAGACCGGAGATCTCGAGAGGGAGAGGAGGAGAGGAAGAGGAGGAGGAGGAGAGGAGGAGATGAGGAGGACGAACTTGGGCGGGAGGAGGAGGAGGAGGACCGGGAAC